TATAACTTATTGATTAATATTTATTAGAGATTAAATTATTATTTGAGATTATACTATTTATTGACTAAGTTAATATATTTTTAGTACTTATTGTATTTTTTTCATTGTCATTATATTTTTCAATAATTGTGTATTTTTGCTATAAATTTTCAATAATTATTGGAGATTAAACTATTGTTATTTATCGGAGATGAGACTATTAATTTAGTTGAAATTATGAGTATTCATTAGTTGGTTTGGTTCGATCATAGGCTATTTGGCCAACCAAATTGACTTGGTCAAGTTGGGGAGTTGGTTAGTTGGTTAGTTGAAACCGACTGACCTTTTGTGAAAACCGACCCACTCAAGTTGTATCGGTTTGGGTTGATTTTTTGGTTTGGTTAGTCGGTTCAAAAGGTTTAAACTTAAAAATTTAATTTAATTTTAAAAATTAAAGTGCAATTATTAAAAAATAAATTTAAAAATTAGATTTATGATATAAAACATTTTAGACTATGAAATATGGAAAATTTCCCACTTGTCCATATTAAAAATTATATTTAAAATATAAAATATTAATATATATCCATGGTTAGGTCATTCAACTTTAGTCGGTTCACAAATGGCCAAAGTGAAACTGATCTAACTTTGTCAAATTATAAAATTTTTGAACCAAAGCCGACCTAAAATACTATAAAACCGATCAACTCAGGTCGAGCTGATTGAGTTGGTTGGTTTCATCAGTTTGATGAACAAACCTAACTAAAATTAATTATTGTTTTTTTTGTATTATAAAAATTTATTAAAAGTAGTATATAAAATATGAATAATTATTAATTATTTAAAATGTTTAAAATATAAAACAACTATATACTCTTATGAGTTCATATCTACGCCCCACAACGTCTCATAGCATATCCCCGTCATTTATTGGGAACATTTCCCGATGATGACATCATCGGTTCTGGTACTATCATCGGGAGATGTTCCCAATACACGATGGAGATGTGTTGTGGGGTGCAGATGTGAACTCTATTCTTAATTGTTTCTTTTAGGGTCATTTACTATAACACACCTTATAGTTTTACATATTTACTTAAACCTACTTTATAGTTTTCATTTTACTAAAACATTCCAAATATAGCCAATAGAGTGGTTGCCCGTGTCTTATTAAGGAGTGTTTGTTTTGCCATTAGGCCCATGATTTTTTATCCAAAAACATCATTAACACTTTTTTTGTACATAAAACAAAATTGACCAAATATAGCCAATTGAGTGGTTGCCTGTCTTATTAAGGGCAAAAATGGTATTTTAATTTTTATTTTCTTTTAACTAAAATTATTTAAATGAGCATTAGTGTCAACACTTTCATTTTCCATTGCAAATTATAAGTAGTGTTTTAGTAAAATGCTAACTATATGGGTAGATTTTAGTAAATCCATGAAAATATAAGGGTATTTTAGTAAATGACCCATTCTATTATTTATCTTTCACTTAATAAATCCCGTGCATTGCACAGGTGGTCCCCGCTAGTTTGGTATAAAAAGTGTGAAAATTATTGACTGTCATTAGACCTCTTCACAGGTTGGGCTTTGGACTCAGGTTACATTATTTTGGGCTTGGGCTTTTAGCTGTATCTGTTCAAATTTTGACAAAAGTTAAATTCAACAACATGTTTATTTTACATTAGTAGGGAATGTTGCTAATACATCCATGTTAAACTTGGGGTTATAAAGGACCAACTGACATCATGGGTCCGTTGGTAGTTGATACTTGGTAGGTTTTCTAGCTCATTTTTGCAGAGACTTAAGATTAAGGGTGTCAATGGACCGGCCCCGTCCAGTCCAAAATAAATTTGGATGAATTGGATGGACCAATGAGACATATTGGATTGGACCAATTTGGTCCAAAATATTTATTAGATTGGATTGGATTTGGTCATAAATTTATATTGGATTGGGTTGGATTAAGCCAATATTTGGTCCACTGGTATAAGATAAGAATATAAGTATCAATGGACCAAATTTGAGTTGAAACCAATCTAAATTAAAATGAATTTGAACAGATTAGACAGTTCGGACATTAAATTGGACTGGTCCAAAATATTCATTGAATTGGATTGGACCAAATCCAGTCCAATTGACACCCCTACTTGTTGAAATCAAACTCCACTACCACAAGGGTTTTGGTTGTGGAATGGATTACCCGCCCCCCCCCTGTCCCTTACAAAATACATCCAAGAAGAGTGCACCTTCTCGAAACTAAATGGCAGGTGCTATGCACATTTGCAGTTAAAAAAATAAATATACGAGTTAACATTATATAATCAAAGTTACATATATTTAACTTTTATTCCTTTGCATCAAAACGAAAACAAGTATCTGCTTTATGTTGTATATAGATAAACCTTTGGATAGAAGGGTGTAGAAAGAGAGGGGGGAGTGGGTACAGCACCAAAATCAAACATGCTTTAGTTGTATTGTGAGCCCATTTACAACCCACCAAGTAGGGGTTAGTGTATAAGTGTATGGGTTGGTGGGTCAAAAATTGCCCCACCCTTACTTGTAGGGGTGCAAGGTGGGCTTGCTTGTGCTGGGGATTTGTTAAATATATTAGGCCCAGTTGGCCGTCAAGGGCCCAAGCTTGATATTGTATAATTCAAAAACATTGTTTGATTTTGTTTTTAAAACAAAAACCAACCTCCTCATCAGTAAAATGTATAGTAACACAAAGTAGCATTTTCTACTTCATGTTCTGATAGCCGCTCTGTTTGTAATGTTTTATTTTTCAATATCTTCAACCAGTCACTATTTATTTTTTGTATGTTATTTTGACCCATGTCATGTGTATCGGTGTATGGTCCTCTTGAATTTATGTAATCTCATTTTATAGTCTAGAACTACTGGACTGATTAATTATTTGACAAGAAATTTCATTATTCTTGCCATGAGATAAAAATCCATACCCTAGCTAAAAAAATAGCCACTCAATGTTTTAAAAACCAGATCGTTATAGGGACCGGTTCCTAGGTTGAATAGTTGGATCGCCCGGTTCAAATGGATAGCGCCATTCTGACAAAAATAAATAAATTTATACTACTTTAAAAAGCACGAATAGCCTCAATAATATTTCTGAAATTTTCTGAAAACAACATTTACCCCTCCATATTTAAATTTATTGATAAAAAATGAGGGCAAATAGGGTAATTTGTAATTGATATTAAATGAGTAAAGA